GGAAGGAGTCCTCCGGCGGCATCGCAGCCAACGGGCCAGGCCGCGGAGATCGACTGAGTGGGGCCGCGGGACTCGGAGCACCAGCTCTCCTGCCCTCCTGCCACAGGTCCGAGGGAGACGGGATCCAGTGCTCCTCCAGAATCCCCTTCTCCTCCTGTGGCCGAGCATCCGGCACGAGTGCAAGGGGAGCTCTGTGAAGACGTCCAGGAGGTGCGAGAGACGATGTGTCCTCAGCTCCTCCCTCTGCTGCCTTGGTTCATCCCGAGCGGACCCTTTGCGTGCTTCTCCCTCTCTGTCTGCCCCTCAGAAGGTCTTTCCTCCTCTCATCACTGCTTAGCCCTGCCATGTTCCTGCTATCACGAGCGCGGGTGGACTTTCCCTCTTCCCCTTCGACTGGCAGGAACTCCCCATCATGACGCACCCTGAACCTCAGCTCCTGGAGAGCCTTACAGCGTTGCAGGGATTGCAAATGCCTGCAGGAAACCTGTGCCCTTGCTCAGGCCCATATGCCGATCCTGACTGCTCCTGTTGAGCCATCCAGCACTGTGGGGGTCAGGGATCGCTGCAGTCAGATACTTCAGATCAGTGTTAGGGTATGTGGTGGCGAGGGCCCAGTTGCTCTGTTTCTCCTGGGCTTGCCCTCCAGGGCCACATTGAAGAGTCAGCCCCACAAAGAGAGTTGCACAAGGCTGTGCCTTATCCACTTTCTTTTATCAAAATATTGTCTTATTTTAGTGCCCTCTTGTTCCCCAAACACTGCAGCATCAGTGTGGAAAGAGACTGTAAGCTGTATTTGTGACATTTAGGCATGAGGTGGGAAGTGCATCACCAGGCAAAGAGCAACTGCTTCTGGCTTCAGAAGCGTTTCAGCTGAGAAAGCCTGGCTCCACAGGCTCATATGGTTGTTTACAGATGCAAAGGAGTAATTTTAAACCCTAACATCTATTTTTGCCTTAAAATGTCTTGTGCTACACACAGGAATTGGTATGGTTGGTTTTACAGCAAGGGTTTTACAATGCAAACACACACTCATTGCAACTAAATTATTTGAAGAGTCGGTGCCAAAATTACACCGTGGTGTTGCTGCGCACATCATGCTTTGCAGCCTGCGGTGCAGGAGGCCAGCAAAGAGGAGGGGGACAGGGGCTGCTCCCTATAGGTATAAACATCGGCAGGACGTGGATCAGCGGAACTGGGTGCCGGGAGTCGCTCCCCAGCGCCCAGAGGGGCCAAGGGGCCCTGCGCCCGCATGTTGCCATGGCGA